GATATAGATAGATATATAGATAGATATAGATAGATATATATAGATATATGATGAATAGTCACTCCCATGATTACCAAGTCTTGCCAGTTTCCAGCTTTGGCTCAAGTTAGAGCAACACCAGGATGCACAATGCAGTGAAAACAGCATGGAGTTGGAGGAAGCCAGACATGATTCAACTCTGTTTCTACTACATGTCACCTCTATCACCTTGGGTAAGGAACTTAACCCCACATCTCAGTTTTCTCAACTGTAAAATATGAAGACATCTTCCATATAAAGTAGTTGTGAGGATTAAATGAGATAGTGTATGGAAATTGTACAGATGTGTGATGATTAATAAGTACAATTTGTTCTGTAAGTGATTGGGCCTGTGTAGATAGATGTATGTACACTGAGTGGCCAGATTATTATGACCACCCATCAGTACTTCGTTGGGCCACCTTTTGCCTTCAATACTGCGGCGATTCTTCTTGGCATTGACTCCACGAGATGTTGAAAGGTGATGCGAGGAATCTGACACCATGCCTGATGAATAGCACTGTCCAGTTCTGTGAGATTTGATGGTTGTGGAACCAGCTGCCTGATGGCTCTTTTAACTTCATCCCACAAATGCTCAATTGGATTGAGATCTGGTGATTGTGGGGGCCACCTAAGCAAGGTAACGTTTCCCTCATGTTCTTGAAACCACTCCTGCACAATACGAGCACCGTGGCATGGCGCATTGTCTTGTTGAAAGAAGCCATCTCCATTGGGATACACCATCAACATGATAGGATGAACTTGATCAGCAACGATACTTAGGTATGTTGTGCTATTCAGACGTTGTTCCACACAAATTAAAGGGCCCAGATCATTCCAGGAAAACATGCCCCAAACCATAACACTGCCCCCACCAGCTTGAAGGGTTGTACTCATGCATGTGGGGTGCATGTTTTCATGCTGTTTCCGCCAAATTCTCACTCTGCCATCTGCATGATGCAATTGGAAACGTGATTCTTCGGACCACATGACTTTTTTCCAGTGCTCGACTGTCCAATCCTTGTGTTCCTGTGTGAATTGGAGACGTTTTATCTTGGCAACTGCAGACAGCAAAGGTGTTCGAACAGGCCTTCGGCTTCCATATCCCATATGATGCAGTGTATGGCTAATTTGCCTACAAATGTCAGGTGGTCATAATAATCTGGCCACTCAGTGTATATATGAAAAATGTTGTAAAAGAAATATATTTCTAGCCTTTCTCAGGTTAAGTAACTGAGCAAGCATTTGAAAAGAGTGGTAGCAGATGTAAGAACATTAATACAATGAAGAGACATTTCTTTCAAATTGATATCAACTATACTGCATACCAGAGGCAAAAAGTAAAAACTGGATCACTTTTGTATTGAAGATTACCTAATGATTTCCTGATGTAACACTTGGAGTAATGGAATTTTTAAAAATAATAAAGTTTATAATAGAAATTATTTATTAGGAAACTTCCAATGACGTAACTAATAGGGAACTATGTAGGGTAACTAGAATATTTGTATAGCTATTTTTAAATTATGTTATGTGAGAATGATCATTATAAAACAGGAGCTCACAGTTAGTGAATATTTCAATTCCAAGTTTGGTTCCTATACTTTACATGGATCAGCTGTTACATTTCATGCCTACAACAATCCCATGAGGTAAGCACTATTATTGTCTCCATTGTTTTCTAATGAGAAAATGAGGACTAGAGAGATTAAATGACTTTCTCAAGGTTGGGAAGCTAGTAATAGGCAAAAACTCAACAATTATGCTCTTTACTGCAACACTGTATAAGCTTTCATATGCACAGCAGAATAAGTTTAGCTTTTTGCCTATGAGGAAGAGAGGGGGAGGGGTATTACCACCATGGCAGCCTGGATAGAGCATCCCACTGCATTTCTACACATCACTGAACTGTATGGGTAAGAGCAAGACTAGTGAATTCCATTTCTCAAAAAACTTGGTGAACCCAACAAATATTTGAAACAAATATGAAATTTAATTTTAGACACAGCAAGTTCAAATAAATCACTTGATATCAGTAAAGAACAGAATTTGTTCTACCATTGGAAACAGTGTAATCTCCAAGTGAAAAAACAATTTTCAAGAAAATAGACACATAATTTGAAGATACTTTATTAAGATCAAAGGTTTTTCATTACATTTATTTATAAATTTTTACTAGTCATAAAGAAAATAAATAATAAAACTCTATCTTCAGGAAGCTTTTAACAACATAGTTTTGTAAATCTGAGAAGTTTCCATGTTCATCAATTTTAAATTATCATTTAGATATATTACATAATGCCAGGAATGTCAGCCTTAAAAATTCAAAAACATCTATATTGGTAGGTAAAATAAAGGTACAATATTATATTTCAATTCCACCTTTTTATTTTTAACTGACTCTCATTTGTTAGTCATGGGAATATACAAATTTCTTCTTGATTTTGGATTAAATATTTGGATTTAAAAAACATTCCTCTTCTCTCAAATAGTGGCTGACACTCTGTCTTGGGAGCAGGTTACTTAAAGAACTAGTACGGGGAGGTGCGCAGCCATCGTTTCCCTGCCGGAGGAGTTTGGGGCAGAGAGTACAGAATCAAGAGCCTTTGTGACAGTTATCAACCAGCCCCTGGAGCTGGCACTGCCTTATCAAATTGTAACCATATCCTTTGTAAGCATCAAGTGGCCACGTAAACTTCACCTGCCAGACCATGTACACTACCTGATAAAAGATTTCTCAAAGTACCCCCTTTACACTATTTTCAAAATATTATTTAGCTCTAGTCTAAAAAGGGAGAAAGGTTTGGATAGTTACATTTTTATAACATCTCCAGTCCCCAGAAGAAAAAGGATTCAGTCTCCACCATCTTATACTATCTCTACCCCTACAGTAAAGAACTGAGGCAGTTATCTGCAAATAAATAAATAAAATTCATGTAGATATTTCAGAAAAAAGAATTTGGATTGCCAAATTATTTATATGATTGCCTAAATTATCATATATTTCCCATTACTCTTTGTATAGGATATTTTCATCAATAGTCAAACCATTTAAGTAAGACTTGACCAGCACACAATTTTAAGTATGGCTTTAGGATCGGATTTGGCAATCCCTCCCCCTCTTTTTAAAAAGCATATTGTTTACTATTTAGTTAATAAACATAGAAACCATTGTTTGGATTATGTTGTTAAGTAATACTTAGTCCGATTATCTAAATATGTTGGTGTGTGTCAAGATCATTACAGTACTTTTTGTCTCTGTTTCTAAAATGAAATCTGACGTGTCTGAAGGAAATCCAGTGGATAATGCTACCACATGTCCAGTGCACATGTAACACGCTAGTGGGTCTACCTGTGTACGAAATAAAGGTCAAATATTTACATGGAATGCTGACCCTGACTTATAAAACTACTATTTTAAGTTATTTCCATCTATACATATAATTTATTTTATGAGTAGCCTCATTTAATAATTAAAAAATATGCCTCTCATATAGTTCATAAATATATAAAATTTTACTGCATTCTATTTTTCTTTAAACATGGCATCTAAACTCTCTTTTATAAATCAACAAAAACCTTTCTTTTTTCTGTTTGAAAGTCACAGATGCAAAGATTTTTTGATTGGCAGGATCTTACTGCATGCAAGAATAACAGGACATATTCTAATATAACTTATGAACATTTCTACTATTTTGAGCTATATAATTTACTTGCTGGAGGTCAGTAGTATAAAAGAAAAATAAGAGGTTCCATCTAAAAATTTATAAGAGCCTTTCTTAAACTTCTTAAAAATGGCAAGATTATGGTGGTATCTGGCCAGTATTAAGAATTATTTTGATGAAGAAATAAGTTAATACATGAAAAGTTTTCTGAAGTACATCTTAGTACAATTTAAATATATGGTGATAAACTGTGCATATTTAACATTTTTGTCTTTAACTGTATCTTCCTTAAATATACCAGAAACATGTCAAATCTCTGCTTTTAGAATAGGAATCACATTCTTATAATTTATTGGGAAAATCCAAAGCCAGTTTAAAAAACAAAACAAAACACTTTTTTGTGACTCTAGAAATGTTACCTAAGGATATACAAATAAAAATGTCCTTTGTAATCATTTCTTGCACCAAGATATAAACATTTTAAGATCAATGCTATAAGGAAAAAATTTAGTTACATATATAATAAATGTTAGCCCTATCTTCCCTTAGTAAATATTTGTTGAGTACAGATAGTACTCATAAGTCCCCTCAAGCTATAACAAGAAGTTCACTCGGGCAGTTTTTCAGTAATTCCTTTAAGAATGATTTTTAAATGCACACACTGGTCCTCGTATAATGTCGTTTTGTTCAACATAAGTTTCATTATAATGTTGATGAGATGCCATAGGAACTTAACTCCTGCTTATATCAATTAGCTTACGGTAAAACTGGTTTCCTTATAGGTCATTAAATAACCACTATTAATGACATTAAGCGAGGACTTACTGTACTGCATATACATCAGAAAAAGCTTGCACTTTTAGAATAGAAAGAGGACCCCTATGATGATCTACCCAAAATCCAGCAAAGCTGTCCTGTCTGCCTGGAGCTGCTCAAGGCTGCGTCGCTAATTCTTTGCAAATGCTAATGAGCAGATTTGATGGCAGCGACCATGTTTGAGACCAGCTGATCTCTAATATTTATTCTCTAGTTATGTCTCTCTAAAAATGTCAACCTCAACTTGGAGATAGAGCTATATATAAAGACGGGCAGAAAGTTCAAAACTGCTCAGAATACAGTACTGTACAAATTTCAATTTTGGATCTTATATTCAAACATTGTATTTGAAATAAGGCTATAAAAATATACAAACAAAACTAACGTTCAATTTTAACCAAGATTGCACATCTATGACCGTGATAAAGATTTTTTAAAAACACCCTACCACCAAAATGGTAACTGATCTAATCATTACTCTACAATCAATGGAAATTTCTCTTAGTTATGAATGTAACCAGCTCACTGGGACCCAATGAGTCTCTGTCTCCAATTTGTCAAAAGTTGTTTTTAGTTCTTTGAATGCCATGGTGAGATCATCATTAACTATAATTTTGTCAAAGAGATGACCATACTGACTTTCCATTATCTGTGCTGATTTAATCATTTCTTGAAAGTCTTCTTCCTACAAAAGGAAGTAATTTTTTTTAAGTGGTTAACCAGACAATTACATCACATCAATGCAAACATTCCACCACTGGCTTATCTAATGCTGTTCTGTCCCTTCTCTCACCTCAGCCAGAAATGAAAATTACCCTCTTTAATTACAAGTTCTTCAGAAGTCATAATTCCTAATATTACTTCTCTGATTTGCTTGTACCTAAACTGATCTGACAAGAGTCAAAACTTGCGTCTTACCTGAAGTTCAGGGTAATCAGTCACTAACTTATTATAGGGATATCTCAGTGTCAAAATAGTTATGAGGGAGAGATGGGAAGAACCATTTACTCTGATGCTGCATTATTTATGCTTCTTCATAGCAAAGAATTTAGAGCATGAACTAGTTTTTCAGAGTTGGATACATTTATAAAACAATAGTTACCAAGTCCTTCCTATGCTTCATTGGAAGTGGGTCAGAGGCCCATCATACCCACGTTTTTGAGCCAGGAAATATTTTAGTTGATTATGTAACTCAGGGTTATATATAACCATATACATAAATGTGAGCTAAAACCTAGGACTATGCTATCATTTATTACCTCCACTGAGAAACGTTTAAGTCTATAAATAGTATAATAGCTCTTTACACAGCAACATACTAATTTCAAGTCCACATTTCAATGTCACAGAATATTTCACAACAGAAAATTTAACTTTAGTGTTAATCTAGAGCCCTCAGTAACATCATATGATGATACTCATTCAACATGGATATGTATTGCCAGTATTTTGTAAAAAAGATACTTATCAAATACTGGGAATCAAAAGTATAATCTGTATTTTGTAACCATAATTTATAGTGTACAAATTAAAAATGAGGGAGGGGAAAGTTAAGAGAGAGAGGGGAAAAAAGCTCTTGACATTTAATTTCTTTGCTCTTCACTTTCTATCCTAAGGTAGAATATATTATCTTAAAGATAGAAACAAAAAACAAGGAAATGAAAGGCCTTGCCAGAAATCATTGTAGTCATTAACATACCGCAGTTGCCATTTATAATAACATTCATAGGAAATACAAATATTGAATAATTACATGAGTCTACTATACCCAAAATGATGCTTTTTCCTTTATTATGCTAAATATTGTTGATTCAAGAAGACAAAAAAGGCAAATTATTAAAACTTTCATCTAGATCATTAATGATTAATAGTAATTGACTTTAGTATTTTTCCCCTTAAAAATAAAAGTAGTCTGAAAACCAACTGGTCTAACTTTTATATAAATGGCCTACAAAAATTTTATAATTATGCCAAATAGTTTTGAGTCCGTTTAATATGAAGATCCATTCATGGAAGTACAAAAAGCAATTACAGTACAATTACTCAAAATGTCTGTACCTAAACACAATTCTATATTGTAGATTTTTGGATCACACTTCATCTATTATAGTTTTCCTAAGATAGTCACTACTGCATATGTGATTTTAACTCCTGCTTATGTATTTTCACTAAAGCATCATGATACTTACTGTAAAAGGCTTCGCAGTACCCTGGTCATCTCTACTTGAAATAATCTTTGCATTTTTTCTTGTCTCCCTCAAACGCTCTATTGATGGAGGCTTTATAAATATCACATAGGGCTTAAATTCTAGTGTCCTTAAATGCTTCACTGTCTGCAAGGAAGAAAATAAGGTTGTTTTTATATTTCTCCATAATGTCATGAGCAATTTTTACAATAAAACAAAATTTTCTAAGGAGAAAATTTCTTAAATTATTTCCTAGTCAAGGTCAGTTGATCTTTCAATGTATTATTCAATCAGTTGTTGACAATTAAATGTAATAAATCCCCCTGTAAAGATGATGAAGAATGTAACTTGCCTTAAAAAATGTTTTGAAATATGCCATAATTAATATTGAACTGAAGTGGCTAGAAATACCATAAAACTGATTTTTAAATCAAATCCCCTATGACTTGGATGACGTTCTGCACACAAAAGTCTTCCAGCCATCCCATTTAAGTCTCTTCCTGACTTCAGGCATGGGTTCTCCTCTTTCCTTCTACTCTTCAAAGTGCCCCAAAAGGGCAAGCCTCCTGCTTTCCATGAAGCTGGTCAACATTCCTCTAGAAAATATTTTGTTATTTACACTATAAGTGACAGGGGACGGAGGGGCTGGTGAGGCACTGAGAAGGTAGACTTTAAACCACACCAAGGGAGTTGGGAACAACTAGTCCCAGGACACCAGCAGGGAGGTTCTGCTCAAGCAAGAGTGTGTCCCATTCATCGCTGGTGTCTGAGTCAGCCGCCCTACTGACTCCTGATTAGTGGCCAAGGCCTTCTCCGGGCCATCCTGGCTGGCCCTTGGAGGTTTTACACCCTCGGGAGCAGTCATCCCTGAAGTGAGAATCTGGCTGCTGGTTATGAGGAAAATGCTGTGGGTTAGGTTTCTGCTGGAAGCTAGATGGTGTGACAACTGAATGGCTTCATCCACTGGCACCCTCAGTCCAAATTTTCCTGAGATTTCCCAGGGTGCCAGGCAGAGACCTACCTGACAGCGGCAATAGGGGCTCATGCCATGGAGTTCCTGTGAAATGCCCCACAGCTCTAGTTATACATAAACCCCAAATCTAGGATATAGATAGAACCTAGAACCAAAAGGGCCATTGTTAAAAATCCTATATAATAAAGAGCTAATATGCAAATTGACCTTCACACCCTCGCACAAGATGGCTGCCATCATGTGGTCAAAGATGGTCGCCACAAGATGGCCAGCAGGGGAGGGCAGTTGGGGGTGATCAGGCCAGCAGGGGAGGGCAGTTGGGGGTGACCAGGCCAGCAGGGAAGGGCAGATAGGGGGGACCAGGTTGGCAGGGGAGCAGTTAGGCGTCGATCAGGCTGGCAAGGGAGCAGTTAGGCATCGATCAGGGTGGCAAGGGAGTGGTTAGGGGGTGATCAGGCTGGCAGGCAGGCGAGCAGTTGGGAGCCAGCAGTCCTGGATTGTGAGAGGGATGTCCGATTGCCAGTTTAGGCCTGATCCCACAAGGGTCGGGATCCTGAGGGGTCCCAGATTGGAGAGGGTGCAGGCTGGGCTAAGGGACACCCTTGCCCCAGTGCACGAGTTTCATGCACCGGGGTTCTAGTTATAAATATTTATGATAATATATAAGAATACATATAATGCAACATTAAAAAAATACAAAATATAGAAAAGAAAATCTAAGAGACCTTATACTTGGCAAAAACTGAATATAAACAAGACTTACAAACACAGATTTGGAGGCTTTTCCTACTCCTCTTTCTAACAATAATATGGGCTTTCAGTTCACCAAAAACTTCTCAAATTTTTTGAAATGCTTTTGTCATCTTAGCAAAGCCACATACATGACCAAAGTGAGTAGACTTCAGATTCAACCTTGTAGTGAGATGCTCGCATCAAGCACAGATTACATGGGCTGGAAGGGTAGTGAATAGTTCATTGTTTACTTACATGAGGTTGAACATCCAACAAGCAAACTTTGTTTTTAGCTAGGACAGACCGAACTGAGTCTATACTTGTGCCATAGTAGTTGTTTTTATATTCACCATATTCAATAAACCTGCAGAAAATTAGAAATGCATCAGAATCATTTATGAATTCAATATATATAGGTAGCAAGACATAATTCATATAAGTAAAAGATATTCTTGCTGAACATGAAAATTTTTTACTGTGTTTAATAAAATAAATAGAGCCAAGTACTCCGGAATGTCAATTTAAAAAAATCTTTTATTTTACATTTTTCAAATCAGTAACACTTGCTTGTATTACACTTAAGCAGACAAAAAGTACTTTAGTCCAGCAGTACACTAATGTTTTCCATCACCTCTTTTTCAGAACTAATGCAATGCAATAAAATAGTGAATAAGCCAAACAATAGAAACTACTGAAATTTCACTGCGCACTACAGAATAACCACCTTTAGAACCAGAGGAGGAACAGGTTGGTGGCTAATGGAACCAGGGCAGCCAATTATGTGCTATAAAAACATAATCGCTGTGCCAAACACGAAAAAAGCATTTTGATGTTTCAATAAAATTCCACACTCCTGTATTAAAACACACATTTCTCTCTCTAATACCCTAAAGTAATTCATGCTTAAGCAAATGGAAGACCTGGGAGAGGGCATGTAGGGCTAGCTAGAGGATATGCTACAAGCAAGATGATTCACATTATTTCAACTTTTTGAAAAGCCAAATATATACAGAGGTATGTATATAGGAAACTGTGGAACTAGGGATCTATTACATAGTTGTTAGTTTTTAAAATAAAATTGTATTCAAATTATATGTTAAAATTCAAATAGCAGGGGGAAAGGACCATAATGACACTAGAGCAAGCTTCTCTCGTTATTCAAACAATTCCTATACATTTATCCTCCCAGAAACAGCAGCTCTAGCCTATTAAAAAATTACAACCGAAGATTGCTAATAAGTACTAACTAAATTACCACCTTTTAGTTGGTTTCAAATATTATAAAAATTAAAATATATTTCAAATGGAAGGGAACCCTCAATTGTCTAAAACTGGATATAAGGGACATACTGAAAAACGGTCACACAACCCAGCCGGTGTGGCTCAGTGGGTGAACATTGACCTAGGAACTAAGAGGTTATTGGTTCAGTTCCTGGTCAGAGCACATGCCTGGGTTGCAGGCTCAATCCCCAGTAGGGGGCATGCAGGAGGCAGCTGATCGATGATTCTCTCTCATTGATGTTTCTATCTCTCTATCCTTCTCCCTACCTTTCTAAAAAAATCGATAAAGCCCTAGCTGGTTTGGCTCAGTGGATAGAGCATTGTTGGCCTGCGGACTGAAGGGTCCTGGGTTTGAATCCAGTCAATGGCACATGCCCAGGTTGCAGGCTTGATCCCCAGTAGGGGGCATGCAAGAGGCAGCCAATCAATGATTCTCATCATTGATGTTTCTATCTCTCTATACATCTCCCTTCCTCTCTGAAATCAATAAAAATATTAAAAATAATAAAAAAATAAAAAATCAATAAAATTATATTTTTTAAAAAACAAGTCACACAAAACTATAAAAAATGTCCACTTACTTGTTATTTTGCACATCTGTCTCAAACAAATGCTTGGAAATGAAAATATATTCAACACCATCACTCTCCTGGCTTCTTCTTGCTCTGGTAGTGTCTGTGATTTAATTAAGAAGAGTTTAGAAAAGTCTACATCAGACACCCTATAGAAAATACTAAAAAAGAAACCATCCTGTATTTAATTAAAGTAGTTTTCTTAAATAAGATTAAAACTTTATAAAAAAGCAAATTAGTTAACAAACTATAGTAAAATATCATTAATTTAGATTTTCCACTAATATTAAAATTATATTGATTTGAGGGTGGATTCAAAATTAAATTGAATTATGCCTGTACTATTATTCATTATTTTGAAGATACTTCTATGTTGATTAAATAAAAATGCTATTTCAACCCTTGAGAAATAATTCTTGCAAATAATATACTTATTATTGTTATTTACTGGTCTGTATTTATTGAAGCAAATCTAATGCCCACTAGGTTATAAGATAAACTCTGAAATTATTTTACTAGCTTTCACACCCAGCACATAGTATATATCATCAATGTTTTATTTTACTAACTGAATGAAGTTATAGACTTCTATGTGCTATTCATTCCTCCTTTCCAAAACTAAAAACATCTTCCTTGGAATACTACTGAACTTCCAAACTTTCAATAACTTTGGTTAATTATTTTCTACTTAATTATAATGGAGTAGAAAAATACAGGATTAACTTGAAACAAAACAACCTAAGGAGTTGCAGTGCTGACAAGGCAAGTGAAAAACGGACTACTGAAACGTTCCTGCTGATTACAGCTAAAAACTCTGGACCCAAAACAACTATGTGAATACTCTAAAATAAATACAGCAGGTAGATTGTGAAGGGGAGTCAACCTGCATGGGGAAGAATTTAACCATTATTTCTTCTTCTTTTTTGAAATATTTATCTTTATTATTGAAAGTATTCCAGATGTTCCCCCTTTCTTACTCCATTGACTCCCCTCCACACCCTTCCTGCTCCACCCCCAGGCCTTCACTGCACTATTGTCTATGTCCATGGGTTATGCATATAAATTCTTTGGTTAATCTCTTCCCACTCCTCCCCCCCTTCCTTCTGAGATTCCATAATCTGTTCCATGCTTCTATGTCTCTGGATCCATTTTGTTCATCAGTTTATTTTGTTCTTTAGATTCCACATAAGAGTGAGATCATGTGATATTTGTCTTTTTCTGACTGGCTTATTTTGCTTAGCATAATACTCTCCAGGTACCTCCATGCTGTCTCAAAGGGTAAGATATCCTTCTTTTTTACAGCTGCATAGTGTTGCATTGTGTAAATGTGTCTCAGCTTTTTTATCCACTCATCTACTGATGGGCACTTAGATTCTTTCCAGATCTTAACGATAGTAAAGGACACTGCTAGAACATAGGGGTGCATATGTTCTTTTGAAATAGTGTTTTGGTTTTCTTCAGATATATTCCTAGAAGTGGGATTGTTCAGTCAAAAGGCAGTTCCATTTTTAAATTTTTGAGGAAACTCCAAACTGTGGCTGCATTCCCACCAGCATTGTACTAGGGTTCCCTTTTCTCCACATCCTTGCCAACACTTGTCATTTGTTGATGGTAGCCATTCTAGCAGGTGTGAGGTGATACCTCATTGTAGTTTTTTAATTTGCATCTCTCTGATGATTAATGATGTTGAGCATCTTTTCATGTCTCTTGGCCATTTGTATGTCCTCTTTGGAGAAGTGTCTATTCAGGTCCTTTGCTCATTTTTAAATTTAATTTTCTGTCTTCCTTTTATTAAGTTGTATCAGTACTTTATACATTTTGAAAATTAACCCCTTATCAGATATATCATTGGCAAATATATTCTCCGATACAGTGGGCTCCCTTTTTATTTTGTTGATGGTTTCTTTGCTGTGCAGAGTTTTTTAGTTTGATGTAGTCCCATTTGTTTATTTTTTTCCTATGTTTCTCTTGCTCTTGGTGATGTATCAATGAAAATTCTGCTACGTGAGATGTCTGAACTTTTGCTACCTATTGGTTTTTTTTAAGGATTTTTATGGGTTTACAACTTAAGTCTCCTATCCATTTTGAGTTTATTCTTGTGTATGGTACTAGTTAGTGGTCTAGTTTCACTTTTTTGCATGTATCGTCCAATTTTCCCAACACAATTTATTGAAGAGACTGTCTTCACTTCATTGTATGCTCTTACCTTCTTTGTCAAGTATTAATTGACCATAATAGCTTGGGTCAATTTCTGGGTTCTCTGTTCTGTTCCACTGATCTATACACATGCTCTTGTGCCAGTATCAGGCAGTTTTGATTACAATGGATTTGTAGTATTATACACAAAAAGAATGAAATCGTATCAAGCATCTTCTCAGATCACAATGCCATGAAGCTAGAAATCAACTACAATAAAAACACTCAAGCCCAGCCACGGTGGCTCAGTGGTTGAGCATTGACCTATGAACCAGGAGATCATGGTTCATTCCTGATAAGGGCACATGCCTGGATTGTGGGCTCAAAACCCAGTGTGGGGCATGCAGGAGGCAGCCAATCAATGATTCTTTCTCATCATTAATGTTTCTATCTCTCTTTCCCTCTCCCTTCCTCTCTGAAATCAATAAAAATATATTTTAAAAAACACTCAAAAACATTCAAACACATGGAGGCTAAATAGCATTAAACAACTAGAGGCTTGGTGCACGAATCTGTGCATAGGTGGGGGTGATCAGGGCTGATTGGGGACACGGGAGGTTGGCCAGGTGAGGGGCCACAAGAGGTTTGCTGGCTGGGGGGAGAGGCCACGGGGAAGTTGGCTGGCTGGGGGGAGGGACTGCGGGAGGTTGGCTGACCAGGGGCAGGGGCTGCGGGAGTTTGGCCAACTGGGGAGAGGGGCCATTTGAGGTGAGCCAGCTGGGGAGAGGAGCTGTGGGAGGTGGGCCAGCTGGGGGGAGGGGCTGTGCGAGTTTGGCAGGCCTGATTGGGGCCATAGGGCTGGCTGGCCGTGGGGAAGGAGGGGCCGCGGAAGGTTGGCTGTTGGAGCTCACTGACCACCAGGGGGCAGCTTCTGCATGCGCCTGCCCCCTGGTGGTCAGTGCTCATCATAGCGACTGGTTGTTCGGTTGCTTAGGCTTTTATATATATGAGTTACCAATGAGATCTAGGAATAAATTAAAAACTTCCTGGAAACAAATGAAAATGAACACACAACCACCCAAAATGTGTAAGACACAGCCAAAAGCAGTCTCAAGAGGGAAGTTCATAGCACTACAGGCTTACCTCAAGAAACAAGAAAAATCTCTAATAAACTATCCCACCCTACAACTAAAATAATTAGAAAGAAAACAATAAGAAATGCCCAGAGTAATGAGAAAGAAGAAAATAATAAAGACCAGGGTGGAAATAAATGACACAGACTACAGAAACAATACAAAAAAATCAATGAAACCAAGAGCTGGTTCTTTGAAAGATAAACAAGATTGATGGACCTCTAGCCAGGCTCATCAAGAAACAAAGAGGGAGGACCCCAATAAATAAAATCAGAAACAAAAGAGGTGAAGTAAAAACTGACACCACAGAAATACAGAAGATTGTAAGAAATTATTACAAATAACTATAAGCCAACAAATTGGACAACCTGGTTGAAATAGACAAATTCCTAGAAAAATACAATCTTCCAAAACTGAATCAGGAAACCTGAATAGACCAATAACAACTAATGAAAGTGATGCAGTAATAAAAAGAAACTAGCAAATAAAACTCCTGAACCCTAGCTTCACAGGGGAGTTTTACCATTCAAAGAAAACCTAATACCTATCCTCCTCAAACTATTCCAAAAAATTCAAGAGAAAGGAAGACTTCCAAGATCTTTTTATAAGGCCAGCATTATCCTAATTCCAAAACCAGATAAAGATACTACAAAGAAAGAAAATTATCAGCAAATATCCCTGATGAACATGGATGCCAAAATCCTCAATAAAATATTACCAAACAGAATCCAGCAATATATTAAAAAGATTATTAACCATGACCAAGTGGGATTTATCCCAGGGATGCAAGCCTGGTACAATATTCTCCAATGTTTATTTCTTCTTAGTTTTGCCCTCAGGGTGGGATCACTGACAGAGCATCATGTCAGAATATATGACTAAGTTCTAACATCAGCCTTGACTTTTTGGTTAAAAGAACCAGAAGAAAAATGCCCCTGTGAGGTGAAGAGTGTGGAGGGAATCCATGAATGAAGAGATCTGGAAAAGGAAATACTCTAATTCTGAGTATGAGCCCACACTAGTCTAAGAATATCCCCTGAGCCATACACATGCAGTTGAGACTCAAGCATAGGAAAGTTTTAAGAAGTGAACTGAGATTAGAATACACAGCCTATCCTATGAATAACAGAAGTATGGAACATACCCAAACCAATATAGTAAAGGCTTAGAGAACTGAGCTGAGAGTTGAAGTATGCACACAAGTATGAATCTAATCCCTGAACTACAGGTGATAGGGCAGACTCAAGCCAACAAAGCAAAATTTAGAAAACTAAAGTGACATTTAGACTACAACTCACATAAAAAGACAGAACTTATAGTCTAAACACAAACTGGTAGATAATTTGCTAAAATAAAACATAACATTCTCCAGAATATTATAACAGGATTTGGAGTTATTAATACAGCACTGAATTCACAATATCCAGAATGCAATTTAAAATTATTCAACATAAAAATAACCAAGAAAATATGACGAATTCTCAAGGGGAAGATAATAGATGGCAACCCTCATAGACCCAGAAGTAAGAACTATCAGACAAAAACTTTAAAGCAATGATTATAATAACTGTGCTTCATTAGGTAAAGAAAACACACCTGAAATAAATTAAAATATGAATTTTAGCAGACTATAAAGAAAAAATTAAAGTTTTAGAACTGAAATATAGAATATCTTACAGAAACATCATTAGATGGGCTCAGTAGGAGAATGGAGAACACAGAGAAAAGGGCCAGTGAACTGGAAAACAGATCAATAGGAATTATAAAATCTAAGCAACAAAGAGAAAAAAGTTAAAATAATATAAATGGAACTTGAGGGACGAATCTGAAAATA